AGTGCAGGAGGTGCTCGTTTATTTTAGTCGTCTTACCAGAGATAAGGGCAAACCTAACTATAAGGTACAACTCCGAAATTGGGTCGAACATCATCACAAAGACCAATTGGTATGATCGAATGGAGACATTCTGGTAGGTAGCGTCATTAAAAACTGAGCACTAACACTGTTTCATCCGGTCCATCAGGTGTGGGTGAGCCCAGCCAATAACTCGATGTAGAACCGTAGTACGTGAAGTGAAACTGAAAAAAAACTTAATATCCGGGGTGTTCTTGACGTCGCACAATCTAGATGCCTTAAAACGCCTGACCGAAATCGTTCCTTCTGGTACGGTACAGGCGACCCAAAATCTGCGTTTTGGTGGCGGCTGGATAATACGCTGTCGTCGCCATAGAATCGATTGTAAATGGTTTGCCAAACTGCACGTGGAGTAAGAGTTATATCGCGAATGCCCAGTTCATCTGTCGCTCAAAGCATTTGTTGCTCCCAGCTGACGAAAGTCGGTGGAGGCCCATCCAAAACTTGGCGCATTTCTGGAACACAGTCAGATCTGTGTCTCCTTTGAACGACGACACCTATACTTGACACGTACAAATTGACTAAGCAGTGGGTACGCCTGTGCGCGCTGCAACAATAGCTCATGGTGATACCACCATGGTAGAATGAGTATAATTATCTCTGGTAGGTCACTGGCCCAGAGCCTAGATCTGCTTCAACCCCATCAGGAAGTGCAAACCAAGCACTATCGTCGACAGCTTCAATTTGATGACCATCATCCCCTTTCACATCCAAGCTTGAGGACTGTCTGGGAATAATCTCCGTATGACCAGATGACACGTCACTCACGCATTCACCATCGTAACTACTTGTCCCGGGCATGTCCAAGTCGAAGTAATTCGAGCTGGGGCGGTAGGGGTCCGACTGATCCGACTCGGAATGGTCCGACGCGGAATGGCAGACGTCAGAAATGTCGGAGTCGGAGCGGTCCGAGTCAGGATGGTAGGCATCAGAGTGGTACGAGTTGGAAAGTGTTTCTTCGGAGAACGAGGTTTGTGACATGATGTCGGAGACGAAAGTTGGAGGTGAAGGAGGGGGGCATCTTAGGCCGAAGACATAATTAAAAGTGATAGCCACGTAGTGGCCCGAAAACACACCTTTCTTACGATGAAGTAAGGGTCTTGGCATACCGACTTCCCATTACTAAGTTATGAGTTGTGCTGTTTTGGTGGGTGTAAACGCCTTTATCATCCCAAAACCAAAATTTATTTGGTACAAATACTTAAAGTAAAATCTATTGTAAATTTGGCTTAAAAAACAAATCTACTTGCTTAACCCCCCCCCCAAAGCGACGGCCTGTATTATACACGTTTTGTAGGGAGGGCTTATCCTGTATAATACACGATAAATGGTGCATGAATGATCTGCTAGTTTTTCACCTTATTTTTGTATACGGTCATACAAACGCTAAGCCAAAGAGGGGTAGGTATGTGAAGCCTGATCCCCATCCTTCCTGGTGCGGTGTGCGCAGGCGGTGCATTGCACAATTTTTTATAAAATAAAAGTTTAAAGGAAACTCAGCGATATGTGGTTCACGCAAATAAATATAAGAAACTGCAGGATATTTCAACGCCACTCATTTTGGTGCTCATTTCAGAAAACGCCCGCTCCCAGTCAGATGTCGGGGTTTCGGGCCCGGTGGAAGGAACTACGGCAGGAAGGCTGGTCTTCTAAGCCTCCTACATGCCTCTCAAATGACCACACCTATCTGAAGCCAGTTAAAGCAAGACAGACGTGCGCGGGATAGACTTCTTTGTAGGGGAGAAGAAGCTGATGTCGTATTTGGATCGACTAGACCTTGGTCAGTTGTTTATTCTAATGATGTATTGAAAACCTGAGCCTAACCGTCGACGCGTGTATAGATGAGCTTGCGAGGTAAAAAGAAGATGAACGACAGACCGACGACGCCACCGACGCATCCTCAAGGCAAGACGATGAAGCCACTCCATCTGATGACGCTACTACACCTCCAACAGGTATATTTTACAACGCTTGACATTACACAGTACCTGTCTAACACTATCGTGTATTATGCAATTAGTACAGTGCGTGAAGAGCCACTCTCAGCCACCCCAGTACGACAGCAGACGCACCCCAGCTCTCCAATGCAATCTCACTCCAGTGCACCGCTAATTGCTACTTCGCCGCATGAAGCTGACGACGATATCGATGCTTTATTTTCGTCAAGTCCAGACACACCCGGTACGTTTACTGTGCCATCCATACAATTCGAAGGTGTTGTAGCTAACTCTTTTCAACGTTGTATTTTTTACAGCTGTGCCAACCACTTCAAGGCGCAATCTGTACGAACTGTTTGAGTCTTCTGATGAGTCAAATGACTCTAATAACTCTCCGCAAAGCCCCACAAATGTGCAACAGTCCGCAGACGGCGATCGCGTGGACGCGGCATCGAACGCTGAATTTTCCTGCTCGTCTTTATCTGGTAGGTTCAAACGTGTATGTACACGATATACAATTCCTATGTATACATGCAAAAATGAAAGTAGTAACGACTACTTTATGGAGAACCTGGACGCACGAGTGGAGGGTCTACACGCCAAGCAGCTAGATCGGAAGCTGAAAAGGCCTGATTTTCAAGTCTCACCTCCGTATATCATAAAGGCTTAGCTGCTGAACACGAAGGGCATTTCAGGACGAGAAATTGCAATTTTTCTTGAATTACTTATTACTCTACAGTTTGGGCACAATAATGACGAACAGGAAGGGGCTGTGCAAAGCAATTCTCCCAAAGAAGACTAAGGACGGCAGGAAGGAATCAAAGAAGCGACCAGCACACATCGTCAAAGGAACGTATGCCGTAGCCACTCTCCAGAAGGTGCCATCGATCAAGGCCGTCCGTTGGTAAGATAATCAAGCGGTGTATCTGCTTGCTGCTGGAGGAGGTGCAGTACCAGACCGTATCGTGCGTAGGAATCCAGTTGCTGGAGAACAGACAGAGTTGATGTGTCCACGGATTGCGAAAGACTATCAGACTTTCATGGGCGGAGTCGACGTTCACGACCAGTTGCGTCTACAACGGCAAGTATTCATATTCTGTATATACACATTTAAGTCATCGCTTTAACATGTATTGTACGTATTATTAGGTATTCACTGCAATTGGCTCGGCGCTACAAGAAGTACTACAAGTCTCTCTTTCTGGGACTGATAGACATGGCTATCATCAATGCTTTCATCGTGCACAATTACCATCGCGCGGCAACCCGGAAGCCAAGGGTTTCCCACGTGACTTTTCTGAAGCCGCTTCATCTACAGCTCTGTCAGTTGCTACCGGAAGATTGGGTGCAGCTTCTTCGCCACCGCGGGCATCACGCGACGCCAACCCGGGCACGACAAGCTCGAGCGGCGCACATGCCTGTACAGTCCGACGAGTGGCGCAAAGGAAACTCCGATAAGACGAGAAAGCGTAGGCAGCGTGCGTGCAAGGTTTGTTCGGTACTAAAAGGCGCTGCCACGTCTCGAGGAGGGGAAACGACATTCTTCTGCGCTGAATGTAAGCTGAAAACTACATCAAGACACGAGTTAGCCGCACGTGTATTCCTCTGCAACAAGATGAAGCATTGCAGCAAAGGCGAACCTACTTCGTGCTGGGATATATGGCATAAACACTGGAAAAATGGGACTATGATCCCTCAATCAGGACGCAAGCGCAAAATTCGAGCCTGGAAGCTCGCACGCGCTGCAAGTGACGGTGGCTCTGATGCCAGCGACTCGGAGTCGCAGTCTAGAGCTGAAATCGGAAGTGTTTCCTCTCAGGGTCGTTCGGGATGGCGGCCACACACCAACGATGACGGCAGCTAGTGAGATCGTCGTCAGAGCACATGTTCCGGCTTCAAAAATAACTTGATTTGAATATATGTTTTTTGTGCAGATCACCATGTGGAATCCTTCTCTAAATATCGACAAAAATATGACCCGTCACTCCCCGCTAGATGTGTTTTTGTACAAATGTGGGGTTGTCTTTGTTCACTCAGGACACGATATCAGCGCTATCGCGTACAGTGCAGACATGTTAGTATACCTGATACACGATATCGAGAAATGAAGCCCCTAGGGGTGGGGCGCTGTACCGACTCTGTTAAATACACGATAAAATATAGCTGGATCTTACTATTGTATCCCACTATCCATAACGTGTATGGGGTTTCGGTAAATAGGCGCAACGAAATCCGCTCGCTTTGGGGGGGTTAAGATTAAATTAAATCAGAACATAGTAGCGAATTTTACCGGATGTGGCCATGGTCATTGATAGGATAAAAATTAGAAATCAATGCCTAATTGTTTTATCCGTCCAATTTGATCATTTCTGACCGTCAGAGGAGTTGACATAAAAACGAGTTGCAGGAGCTGACCTGCGCAGAGTTTGACCCGGGATATCGCAGAAGTGGTAGTGGATCTTATCGCTTAAAACAAAAATGTATCAGCAACACAAATTTTAATGCAAAAAGCAGGTAGTGGAAAATATCGACTTTGGATACTGCATTCGCAGCAGGCAAAAGGAAATTTTGCAGTTTGCAACAAACGATGCTGCCAAGAAATTTGAACAGAAGGTCTTTCATACTTGCGAACTCTGCGGATTTTCTTGACCAATTTCATCAATTTTTTGACCAATTTCATCAATTTTTTGACAAAGTTCTTTGCATTTAAGGAGAGGACCAACACTACGATTTGTACTTTTTTTAGCCGTTTCTTCATTTATTTTGAGAGGTAGGATGATTGCTGCCATTTTATCTGTGTCAAGACGAAATTTCGAGTACTAAGTAGCTGTAGAAATTGCTACTTTCCTTGATAAAGTAGGGACCATAACTATGGATCAAAAATGTGTTGCTGGTCCAATTCGTCACATTTCGACTTTCGTTCGTCGTGAGCGCTTCTATCGCGTCGTCATTTCTCTAACCAGTGAACTATGAAGCCTCAACTGTTTATTTCTTTTTCGGAGGTCCAAACAGCCCTCCGTCGCCGTCCCAATCCGAATCCGAGTCTGAATCCGACGACTCAGCAGCGCGCATTCGTGCAGCAGCACTAGGGATCGGTGGATGTACAACAGCTGCTGTCCCCGTTGGCTGTCCAAAAAGTGAGTCGGACGACGCCGCAGTTTGTGTGGGTGCAGGACTGCTCTGTACGACTGGAGTTGGAGTTACCACTGGTTTTACAGGAGCCGGCTTGGCTGTTGCAGCACCAAAGAGACCGCCGTCATCGTCACTCCAGTCATCGCTGTCGTCCTCGGACGAAATCTGTCGATTAATCAACGGCCTGGTCGGTGGCACAGCCGTGGTCGTCGCTGCTATTGGCGCTGGCGTTGGAGCCGGTGACAGCATCGGTGCAGCTCGTACAGGTGGAGCGCCAAACAGCCCACCATCGTCCGAGTCGCTCGAGTCGCTTTGCGCGCGAGATTGCCTTGTCTGTGGCGGGACAGTAATTGGTACAGCAGCTACCGGTGTGGGCTTAGCCGGCTGCGCGACTCCGAAGAGGCCTCCGTCGTCACTGTCACTGTCACTGTCACTGACGTCGTGTGTGACGAGAGGTGGCGGTCTCACTGCAGATGGCGTAGCAACTGGAGCACTAGTAGCTGGTTTACGAGTACCAAACAGACCGCCGTCGTCACTGTCGCTGTCGTCACTATCTCCACCGAATAGTCCACTTTGTGAACGCTGTACTGGCTGAGACTGAGGCGCTGGGACTGGCGCAGTAAGAGCTTTAGACGTGGCACCAAACAACCCACCGTCTTCGTCGTCACTACTGCTATCAGAATCCATAGGACGTCGTGCTGGGATGACAGTGACAGCCGGTGTAGCTCGTGTAGCTGGTGTAGCTCCAAAGAGTCCGTCGTCGTCACTACTGTCATCCGAGTCGAGACGTCGAGGTTGTGAGGGCAATACCGACACAGCAGCAGGTTTCTTGGTCTCCTTAGCACTCGACGGTCGTCCAAACAATACGCTGGTCGTGGACTCCGCTTCACTGTCACTAGAGAGGAAGCTCTTCTTCGGTTCCCTACTACTCGACTCTCTTGCCGTGTCAGCCATGGGCAACCGGAATCCTTGTGGCGGTGGAGCAGTCTCCCTCCCACTAACAAATAACTCTTCCTCTTCATCTGACGAGCCGAACGAGTCCGAACGTCGAGAACTTAGTCGCTTACTGCTGTTTCGACGCTTCGGAGTGCTCGTAGTGGCTGCAAACAGCTCTTCACTAGTGGAAGATTGCTCGGTAAACAGCGACGGACGCTGCCTGGAAGTTTCCTGTGCATCAGTAGCAAAGACACGAGGTTTGGCAGTCGGCGTAGAGCCGAACAGCCCAGCGTCGCTCTCTTCGTCCGAGCTGTCTAAAAACTGGTCTTTTCTAGCTAAAGTGGGGGCGGCAAACGGCGGAGGAGCTTCGCGACGACTTACTGCGCTTGGTTTGCGCTGTGGCGTCTTGCTCTCCTCGTCACTATCCGTCCAGTCGCTGTCGCTCTCGTCGTCAAAGACCGGACGATGACGTGAAGCTGGTGGAGCGGACTCTGGCACTGAAGGACGACCGAATAGGCCACTCGTGGAGCTCTCGTCCGAGTCTACACGTCGTCGAGACGTCTCCACAGCGGGAGGACGACCGAATAGCCCGCTAGTATCGCTCTCATCCGAGTCTGCACGTCGTCTCGGCGGTGGGGCAGCCACGGAGGAACCGTCAGAGTCCTCTGAGTGTCGAGAAGACCGCCTTTTGGATGTTTCTAATTCTGATTCTTCGCAATCTGAGTCTGAGTCTGAGCTGCTATAGGACGACGCATAACTCGAGTCGCTGTCGCTGTCGGAAGAATCGTCGGGGGCGGCGCCCAAGCCGAGCGTCTCGTCCTCTAGGAACTCTCTTGTGCCAATGATAAAGGGCAGCGGACGCTCGTTGTAGATGTCCAGCACCGTGTCGAACTGCGACGACGTCTCGCTCGTGTCGTCCTCGTCGTCCATCATGACGAACAGCTTCATGGCTTCCATGCCCATGTCCAGAGCGGACCTGTACTTGTTGACAATGGACTCGGCCGCGGCCTTTGGGCCTGTCTCTTTGCTTTCTGCCGTGACAGAGCTCTCCGCTGGCTGCTCCTCCTTCTCCTTGTCTGGTTCCTGCTTGTCTACAGCGGTTTGACCGCCTTCAGCGCCGAAAAAATCCTCTTGCTCTTCGTCGTACACGCGGTTCTCGATAAACTGGTTGTTGGACAGCATGAGGAACTGGTTGAACGTGTTTTTCAGACGCACATGGGCCGAGTCCGCCTCGGCTGCGATGTCTCTCACGCTGTCCTCCAGGTCCTTTGTACGAGCGAACAGGTCGGCCGAGTATCGTTTCAGATACGCATGCAGGTCGTGGTCTGAGTGCAGCGTCCAGTTGGCCACTTCGTGTGCCAGATCGGCCAAAGTTTTCGTCTCTGGTGCCTTAGGAACGGCGGCGTCATCCTCGGGTTCTTCGGGAGGCGGCACCGGCTGAGAATCGGCTAGTTCGTCGTCTAGAGGAGGAGGAGGCGGTGGGATCACTGCCAGCGCGCTCTCGAACGTCGGCGCGGCCTCAAGAGCCAGCATCTCGGCCATTTTTGCTGCTCTGATTACTCCGCTGATAGTGAACACAAGTTGGGCAATTGAAGAGGGGGACTGTGTGGTACACACTAAAGAAAAGTTTTGTAAAAAAATTGTAAAAAAATTGTGAATGAAATTATGCAGCCCTTGACGTTCACATACAAACTACATGTACTTCGACTTGATCCTTAAAACAACGGGACCATGTGCTTGAGCATCGACGAGTTGGCCGCTTTGTGAGTTCCAGGAGGACACAACATCTCGTCTTGGGCGTCCATCCACTCGTAGCAGCCGTCAACCTCGACCTCAATTCGCAGTCGACCATCCACTTCACACGCTTCAAGAGCAGTGACGACCGCATTGCGCCACTCGGGGTATCTCTTATACGCCACTTGTCGCCCCACCATCACAGCGTCGCCCACCTGGAGCGCACGCCAGTTCCGCACCTTCGTGTGCAGCGGCGCGATCCTCGTCGACGTGCGCTCAATCCACTCATCCCACTTAGACGTCCAGCCGCGATAGTGCAGCTTCACAAGCGTCGAGCTCAAAGCCACCACCCGAGATTCATACCTAAGTCAACAACAGGTTTACTTGTCATAAAAAACTAATAAAAACAACTACCACGAGCGTACCAGACGTTGTCTGTATCACGAGCGTCAATTAATTGGTCGATCTGAACCTCATAGCGCCACGCATCTTCCTCGCTAATACTCAAGTCCACATCTCCACTTAATCTCTCCGTCGTTGTTGCGATAACCTTACCCACTGTAGGTGAAGTGATGTCTTGCTCAGCGGTATTACGCTCGTCACTCACGTTAGAAATAGGCTTCTCGCTCTCCATACCAGTGGCGTCCGTTGCGCTATTGCACTCCACTTTCCCAGCTGAGCAGCCATCGTCACTATCCACGACACTCCACTCGTCACTGTCTGCATCGGTCTCTGCTACCTGCATGGCTCGTGTAGCTGCACGGAGCGACTCGATATCATCCAAAGGTTTTTCTTTACAGCAAGGCGAGGGTGGCAGTTCCTCTGGTCGCTCAAAGTAGTTCATCATCAAGGAATGAGGCACCGAGAACCCTGTGGAGTCTCGTTGCGCTGTGCCATTCAATGCCTTGTGCGTTCCCCTTTGACAAAGAAGTTCATCCTGAGCGTCCATCCACTTCTTCTTCCCGTCCACATCCACCTCAATCTGAAGAGAACCGTCCTCAATAGCACACGCTGTTACACGTGCAGCTCGCCACTCTGGGTACCGTTTGCCAGGCACCTCAGTACCGACTAGGATTTCATCTCCCAGCTGGAATTCTCGCCAATTGGGAGCCTTGGAATGCAGCGGAGCTAGACGCTCGGACGTGCGACGTAGCCACTCGTCCCACTTGCAAGTCCAGCCGCGATAGTGGACTTTCACGTACACTGCGCCCGTATCCACAATGCGAGACTCGTACCAGCGTTTATCCGTGTCTAAAGCATCAACCAACTGACCGATCTGCAGCTCGAAACGCCAGGAATTCTCCTGGATCTCACTGTAGAATCTGCCACGACGCCAATCCACGGGCTCTCCCTTCTGGATAGTATTAAACGTGCTCTCTACTAGCAACTGGCGACATTGGTTCCCACTGGGAAAGTCAAACTGAGACGTTAGCTGCAGTTCCGAGTGCTCGAACGCGCTATTATTCTCTGCGCTGCATAGTGGAGACCACTGCGTATCGTCATCGGAGCGTTCGCACACTTGTAAGATCTCATTGATGTTTTCTTTTGTCACTTGAGGGAACACCCCACGTAGCTGCGGCTGGGTGAGGATCAGATCCTGCATCAGCTTCAGTAGCTCCCAAGTTGAGCAGCTCTTGTCTGCAGCTACCAGCAGCGGCTTCTGCTGCGCATCGACAAGCTCGATGGGTTTCTCCAGTCCGTCATGCCACACGAGCAGCTTCAGTAGCTCCTTCGTCGGATTTAAATCTGATTCTTTTACTTTGGTATCAGATACTGTTTTCTCAGAGTTTGTGGTGTCAGGAATCTGATTCTGAGTCTGTGACGCTTCAAGACTACGCTGTTTCCCTAGCGCTTTCGGGCTGTTGCTCTCTGGCTGGTCGTCGATGTCTGTGGCGGAGTCGCGACTGCTGTCGCTACGTACGACGAGCCAGTCGTCGACATTGCAGCTCGAAGGATCAACGGGTTTCTTGGTCATGCTCAAGTTGCGTGATTTTCGAGGCTGGACTTGGCAAAGAACGTCAACTTCGTGTTCGTGACATGAAATAGTGTTTTAAAACGTAAAAGTCAACTTCAACAAAGCTTCGTCGCGCTAAATTAAGCAGATAATATGGGTTCACTTTAGAAATACATGTACAAGCTTTCGAACTATTAATATTTTTCTCTGCTCGTTTTGATAACTGTATGACGAAGAAGTTGTTGTTGACGCTAAGCAATATCGCTGTCATTAACTGTGAATACCAATCATACAGCAATCGAAAGATTCAATCCCACACCAAGACCTTGGACATCTTTGCAACGGTGTTGACTGCTGGAGGTCGCACTTGACTGACTGTGAAGTACAGAAGGAACTTCGGTTACTTTCCAATGGTATTTACTCAATGAACAATGTTCATGCCAAAAAAACATCTCCCTCCATAAATCCTACAAATTTCTGCAACAACGCTTCGTTCCAAGACTGGGAGATCTGCCATGTAGGGCTGATCTGCTAGAGTCCAGTCTGGACTGCTGGTTATGTCCGCAAGTGGCTTCAATTGCATGCGACTGGCATAAAAAGACCTGGTCTCATTTCGTTTGACGTGTATCGCTTTGCGTGTTCCAATTGGTCGCCGCTCGATGTGCAAATTATTTATGTAAGCTTACACCAAATCTCTCGCGACGTGTTTTGCCGGCCAATTGTCGTTGTCCAGCGACCGAAGAAGCCACTGGAAATGATGCCGCAGCAAGTGACTGCGGTCGACTCGGATCCGAACCGTCTGGTGTCCAGCGAGGAAGAGATGCTGCGTCTGGCTCCGCAGCCGCACGAGCGCGTAGTCTACTGGGGCTCTGGCAGTCCGCAGGGTTAGTGAGCCCCATCCAATGCTTCATTATACGCTGTTAACCTGATATCATTGGCTTTATCTGCACAGCCTGGCGCATTCTGATTGCTTTGGAGGAGAAGAAACTGCCGTACCGTAGCGTATGTGTAAGCTTCTCTAGTGGCGTTCTCAAGACGCCCTTCTTCCGAGCGCTCAACCCTCGCATGCGGATCCCGGTACTCGTAGAGCCCATGGAACTCCCGCCACGTGAAGACACACAACCCGATACGACATTGGACCCCAAAAGTAAAGTTGCCGAAGCTGCCATGGGGATATCTCGTCTCATGACGCACAGCACGTCACAATACCGCACCGTCGTGTACGAATCCAGTGCGATCCTCGAGTATCTAGAAAAGAAATACCCTGAGGTGCCGTGTATGCCTGCATCGCCAGCTCTGTATGCAGTGGCGCAGTCCAGACTACACGAAGCGAACGAGATCTTGTCCGTCGTGGGCGATTTGGTCGTGTATCTGCGTCGATTCCCGCACGAGAAGCGCAATCCAGCCATCGTCAATGCCAAATGGGCCTCGGTAGAGACGGAACTGAGTCTATGGGAGTCGTATCTCGGTGGCCACCAGTTCCTCGTGGACTCGGAAGTACCGTATCTGTGCGACTTTACACTCTTCACCAATGTCGCCTACGCTGTGCGGTGTGGCTTGCAGCTTGACGGACTGTACCCACGCTTGGCAATGTTCTACGTGCGTCTGTGTGCACGTGCGTCGATCGAGACGACGTGGCCGCCTCATTGGCGAACAACCTTTAACTTGAAAGTGCTCACCAAGACATGTTGTTACTGTGGCGGCAGAGCCGACCAACCCTGTGTGTGCAAACAACGGCCTGTGGCGCCCAAGAGGATGGTGCCACCTCCTGCGGTGCACACGACCCAACAACCTTCGTGATACTATGGCGTTATCCAAAAAAGATGTCGCAGAAATACAAAGCAGCCTTCACTGTAGCTTCTGTTACGTGTTACCGTAGTTATACTAGCTCGATTCGTTAACTTTCCCCCCTGTCTGTTTTGTAGTTTTTGGACTTTTACAAAAGTCCAATCTTGCGTAGGAAGAGCTGGGCACGACGTAGCGTCAGTTCTCTCTCCTTTTCCGTGTTCACGACTGTGCATTCAGTCATCGTATCACGTTCAGGATAACTCCACGTTCGCTCCATGTACTCATAAACTTCCCACGTGGCGTCTGACATGTCGTTCTTTCGAGCCAGCATTCGACCTTTGATGATCTCCCGGTCACATTCGCACATGATAAATGCAAACAGAGCACCTTCAGTGCGAGCAGTGGTAATAAATCTCTGGCGTTGAACTGGGTCTCGAAAAGTTGCGTCGACTACAACACGCTCTCCTTTACGTAAATGCTTAACACACTGCTGCAATACTTCATCATAAGTGCGACGTGTCATCTCCGGAGAATACAACCCTTCTTCAAGGCTGTCATCGCCTTCAGCTGTGCAGTTTTTCTCTTTGTGTGCCTCTTGGTCGGCTAGTTCATTACGAATTGCATCTGAGCGTAGCCATACTAGACTACTGTCACTTTCTGCTAGCATTTTGGATAAATTCGACTTGCCACTTGCTGGCAGGCCCCCAACAAGGACCAGACATGGTCGTTGTGCAGGAGGACTCAACAGTTCGAGAGCTACTAGCCAGTAGCAACGTGCATGTTGAGTTTCCTCTGCACGGCGTCTATTTGACAGAGTGGGGTCCATGACTCGGAAACCGCACACTTTAGCACGTACCACGGCACGGTACGCAGCGTAAAATGCAAATAGATCGTTGTTTTCAGGCGCGTTTTGCACTGCCTTGAGGAGGTACTGTTGCTGTAGAGAATGCGCGAGGTCAGGTCGACCTTTACGCCAAATGTCCATAGCCAGGAAAGCTACATCCGAGAGTGGATCTCCGAACCGGAACTGCTCATTGAACTCGATACAGTCCAGAACCGCAAACTTTCCGTGCTTGGATAAGCGAGGTATTTTGTAAACATGTTCGAGTCGTAGATCGCCATGAGTATCACAAATATAGCCATTCTCCACTCGTGACTCGAATGTAGGTCGGAGTTTCTTCAACCACGCGTATGATAACTCCCTCACTCGACGATACACCGGTTCACTTACTGTCACTCCGGTGTGTGAAGCCGTTTGGTCAAAGTTCTCGTCGATATTGTGACGGATGACTGGCTCTTTCCCAAATTGATCGATCTTTGGTCCACGACGTGCATTAGCGTGAAATTCGACGAGTTTTTCAGCTACTTGATCCAGTATATCCTCGGTCAGATCCCCGTGATCCATGCGATGCAGCAGCGTACAGTCGTCTGGTAGACGAACCATGTGTACCGCCCACTCGACGATCTCTCCATACTGATCATTCAGCCACCAGTCCAAGTCGTTGCTCTTATCTGGCGTCCAGAAGTCATTACATCGCACAGAAATCTCTCGAGTGTCTCTCTTCATGGAGACAGGCACAACGCCCATGTACACGTCGGGTGCCAGTCTTTTATTCAGCTGTACCTCTGCAAAACACGCCTGGAAGCGCTTGTAGAGCGTTGAAAAGTCTGCGAAACCAAAATCTACTTGCTTTTTTACTTTATACACGCGTTCAGGCAGCATAAAAACCATCGAAATGTGCGTGTGCACCACGTGAAGTTGGTCGACATCGTCCAAACCGTTAGGAAAAGCCACTCGCTCGGCGTCGGTGTTTAAGAACACATACGTTCTTGGATCCTTCAGAGCTCGCTCCAGCTCGTTTTGTGAGACCTCTAGTCGTGGTGCTTGCTTGTGCTTCGGACGTCGTGGCTCCATCTTCGGTCGAAATTCGGCAACTGATCACTTGACTTCACTTCAACATGTTTAGTGACCCCTCATTATAATGCCAGTACAAAATTTAGTGTACATAACTTCAACATTTACGTCACTTTCTTATCGCCCAGCTGATTGACAGCTTTTGATGACAAATTGGTCTAAGTAAATACCTAAGTAAACGTCAATTCAGAAATTCCTCCAGCCAGTTGACCTGCTCCTCGATCATGCTTGCGTCTGTGGAACTTGTCTCGCGTTGGTACTCGCTTGACGAGAGAGTTGGGGTGATTATAATGGAGTTTATCAAATTTTCTCCATCTCTCTCGCTAGATATCGCATGCACATTCGACTCGACGGTCTTTCTGGATGTGATCTGGGCACGCAGCAACCCTCCGCTTGCGCTAGTCGACAACGTATCGTGGTCTATCAACAATCATCTCCGCTCCGATCCATGCTACTACCACTATCAGCTCTCAAAATCACTGCAAGTTGCTGCTGCTCGAGGTAACCTCGCCGTGGTAAAGTGGTTGTGCTGTCATTTCAGCGGTTGCACAGCACCTCCAAGTGTGGTTAACATCGCCGCGAAGAACGGGCACCTCCAAATACTGCAGCTCTTGCTTTCATCTTGCAAGTCCAGCCGTTTGCAAACGTCAAATGGCATGGATGAACTGTGTCAAGAAATGTCACTTTGCACGTGTAGTACTACATGTACACGTTTTGCGCATTCAAATCGAGTACACTGGGGGAATGAAGTGATGGAGAATGCAGCAGAAAATGGTCATGGGGAAATAGTTCGATGGCTGCTCAATAAGAAGATCCATGAAATTTAACGGCAATCAGCGAGTGCGAATCATCGAGCACTTTCTACGAATTGGAGACTTCGAGTTGGTGGATTTGTTGTTGCCCTCAGACGGTAGCACTTGCGAGCTGGACTACGACCGCCTGTGTCCAGGGCCTGACTTAATTGAGTGGATGCTGGCGAGCGGGTAAATACATCGTGATGGGTACATCGCCGCTGCAGCGATACGAGATCTATCTCGTTTTGGTCACCTTGAGCTAATGCAGCGGTGTCTACTGCTTCATTTTCCACCTGTGTCAGACATGGATGTGTGGATAGATGCTTGGTGTGACGCGTTAACAAATGCATGCAAACGTGGTGATATTCAAATGGCCCAATGGTTAGTCAACACCAAATAGGGCATGAAGCTCTACAACGCTATCAACCATCGGACAATGATCCGTTTGTGCGGCAGCGGAATTAGACCAGGTTGATATACTGCAGTATCTTTACGATCGGGGTCTTGGGAAGCGAGTCAGCGAGGCTTTGGTGAACGCAGTTCGAGGGAAATGTGTGAGCTCAGTGAAATGGTTGCTCGAACATTCGTCATTTCCCCACCCAGTCGCATGGAAGGCGCTAGTGCTTCAAGCTGCGCGAAATGGACAAAACGAAACACTCGAATTATTTCGAACCTCGTCTGTTTCGGAATTTTGCCAGAAGAATCGGAAAAGGGGTCTGGACGAGTATGACTGGTGGTCGTGCTCGTGCGTCTTAAGCGAAGCAGCTTCCTCGAATGGACATGTAAGCACCTTAAAATGGCTCTTTAAGAACTACCCACCGGACTCATTGCACTACACAATTGTGGTGGCAGCGAGAGGTGGACACCTGAATGTCCTGCAATGGCTAAGGGATACAGCGCGTGCACCTTCACTTTACGGAGCCAGCGGTGTTGAAAGTCGTGATTATTCAGAGACCGTGCAACGGCTTGCCGCCTGTTTTCGAGATGCTAATGAATTGGCGGTTGCAAAAGAAGAGGCAGTAAAACATGGTTACTTGGAGGTGGTGAAGTGGTTTCATCGAAACTGCGTGACTTATGGTACCACGTATTCAGTCAAGCTTTCTATCATATATGGGCATCTTCGTACGACAAGTTGGCTCTACCCGCGCACACCAAGTGCAACTGTGAAGGAATCTGATCTGTTTCAAGGTTTGCCGCCGACGTTTGAAATGCTCTTGTTTCTGTATGCACACTATCCGACTTTGTTCACTTTTACGCTGATCAAAAGAGCTCAAAAACTACTCAAACCCCAATCGGAGATGAGCGAAAATCACCACGTGCTTTGTTGGCTGGAGAATAAGATGCAGGAGATAATGTAGCCGTTCAATTTTTATTAAATGTAATCAGAGATTGGTATTAACCCTTTCGTGTAATCGCCTATACGGGGATAATGCTCTATTTCCTCGCATAGGTCGCGGGTGCATCATCATACATTTATTGAGTAAAAGCTAACGGATTAACTTCAGCTCATGTGGAGTTGAAGACCCGGGGAGTGGTAATGGGTGCTTGAGCTGCTAGAGGAAACTTGAGAACTGAGGTTGCTGTATATGCCGGACTCGTCCATCGCTCTTTGGCACTACAATGAGTGGACTCTACCGCGCCGGAACACCTGCTGAACCAGGAGTACTAGCGAGGTTCGGGCTTCTGCTGCTGACTCCTTTTCCCGAGGAAACTACTATTCTTGCTAGTCAAGAAATTCAATTATCTCGCATTCGCAGTCGTGGGGGCATCATCATACATTTATTCAGTAAGAGCTAACGGATTAGCTTCAACTCATGTGGAGTTGAAGACCCTAAATTAGGAGGATCCGGAAGCTCTACTGAAGTCGGTGCATGTGTCTTGAGCCACTGGCGATCCTGGCCGACAACACTTGGACTGACTCCTTGCATAGTCTTGTGTACTGCTTAAATGTGTCGGATGCCCAGCGTCCGTGGAATTGGATGGTGAGTGTGTCAACTCCGGCCCGGTACGCGTGAGTTGCGCCGCCTGCTCTGAGCGAGTGAGGACTAAATATCCTCGGATTGTTGCCGAGCCTAGTTGCTGCTTGTCTAATGGCTCTTAATATCGCTGATGAAGATACACACTCTGGGAATCCGTTTCCGTTGATAAACACCGCGGCTGGGATTTTCGGTAAAAGACCGCGTCTCGCCCTGAGGATGCAAAGTGCGCCAAATACTGGGCATAAAGAGCGATGACCCAAGCGGTTCAGCATTCGGAGTGTCGGCACGCCGCGCTGGTTAGTCTTGGAGCCTCGAAGGCGAATGTGCGCTGTTGAGGCCTCGTGTGCTCGCGTGGTGGCGACACCTTGATGATTTAGCACGACGATGTCCTCGGCGTTGAGGGCAAACCACGAAAATCTTGTCCCGTTAGAAGCGATTTCCGAGCGCCGTAATTGGAAGAAGAAAGACAAACATAAAACCCCATATAGCGCTTGATCGGAAGGGTTGGACAAGTCGAGAGCATCGAAGCAGCTCTCCAGCATTTGGAGAGATACGGGGACTTTGTGCGTAGCTGGCTGTTCGAGACGATTGGTGCCCTTCCAAAGCATGCGAGTTTGTGTGTTGTCGCTCGGGAACGCCATGTTGGCGGCCAGGAAGAAATGTCGTATACCGTGTAGTGTAGATGCAATAGTTGAGCCATGCACGGGTCGGCCAGAGCCGTAGCCGACCCGTAGACCATGAATTGCGAAATCGGTGATGAACTGAACTTGGTCGCCCAATGTGTAGCTGCGCAGCGTAGGGTCCACCCCGTTGCGAGTTGCCCAGGCATACCACGCGCTTAGCGCGCTGCGGTATTTGCCGTAGGTTGATGCCGCGACAGAGTGGGCTCTGAGATTGAACGCCAAATCGCTTCCAGACCCGACACGTCTGTTGTCTGAGTAGCCTGCGTCCAGTCCAATGTTAGTTTAGCAAATAGAGATGCATGTTGAGCGCTAGATGTCACGCGAGAGCCCGCGTCAGCAATCCGGTTGTCTACACCGGCCACGTGAATGGCAGAGAACCGGAGCCTGTATTCCGCTTTCCAGTAGCCGATTAGTCTAATGACGGTTTGCGCTCTGGGATTGCGGGACGACATTTGGTTCTGCCATGCCACCGCCGACGTGTTGTCGATGCGGAATTGGACATGCACAATGCCGCTGCTGCCCGAACGTTGTTGTCTCGACCAGACTGAACCCCATGTGTGCACTGCAAAGGCGCAGGATAGTAGTTCCATGTAATTAATATCGAAACCGACGGTGGAATCGAGTTTCGATGCGTCGATCATCTGACGCTCATCGCTGGATAATGTGTATTGGAGCACCATTTGTGCCGTTGAGACCAGAGCACAGAGGCCACTGTCGGAAGCGTCCATTTCCACAATGATGTCTGGTGGGGGCGCAGTGTGGAAGTATTGTAGGGGAACGCCGTTGAGTACCGGGGAACGTAAGATGTAGGACCACCAGCACAGGTCCTGGCGCATGTCCGCGCTAACAGGCGCCCAATCCCATATGCGAAGCTGATTTTCTTGGCGGCATAGGCGCTGTAAGAATGGACAAGCGGGGCGCTACGTGACGTAGACGACCGAGTAGTGAGCGATATTCGAACCGACTGAGGAACGGAGTGGTTGACGCCGCTGTCCCGCACGTTTTGGCTTTCTCTATCTTCTTCCGGGGCATGGCGACGTGACCGATCTCAGTGTCAATGATAAGACCGAGAGCCTTCTGTCGACTACTTCAAGGCGTGAATTTGTCTTCATTAATAGCCGCGTGACCGAGTACGGTGATCATCGCGTGACGAAGTGACTGTTCCGTGTCGCTGCAATTGTTGCCAATATCGGCTGCCACGTTGATGTGGTCTTCCAGCCCTTTGAAGTTAAACACGCCTGAAAGTTGATGCGGGGTGACGGAGTTCCCGTGTACATGAGCGATCGCTCCGCCGACAACTCCGTAGCTACCGGGTGAGCCTGACCATCCGAAGGCAGTGGACATATCGATAACTAACGCATTGTCTGGCTCTAGTCGGCCGCCAAAGCGATATGCACTCTCACTATGCGTGTATACGTTACCGAATGTGGACGCTACGTCACCAGCTTGCAGTTTGACCACTGTACCCGGGTGGTTCTGCTGCTGAGTGATGACCTCAGACACGATGGCGTCGCAGTGCTGATATGACGGTGGAAATATACGCGACGTGTCCGTTTGATCGTTCAGGGATTGTCCGTCCGGGTAGGATAGGTCGTGAATGACGCGCCCGTTAACGAGAGGGTCGTCGTCGCCTTTGTCCACCACTCCGAAAGGACTAACATGCACATCGGGCCATATTTCCAGGATGTCGAGGTCGACGACAATGCACCGCCAATTGTCCTGTTCCTTGCGTATATTCTTGACCAGGATGTGGTAGCGATCTGTGGCCGATTGGTGGTTTGGAGGATAGGAGCGCTGGCGCGTCCAGGGTCCGACGAGAGGTGTACGGACGCGGTATTGAGCGAAACCGAGCAGCGCTTCTAAGTGTTCGTATCCTCTGCAAGCATGACGTAGTGTCACAAGAATAATGTTCTTGTCGGGTCTATAGTCATCGACCGTTTGGACGCACAATAGCTCGACGAACTTTGGTAAACTGATGTGCGTGCGCCGAATGAAGTCTGAGAGCACCCGTTGGAGAGGCTTGTTCAGCACTGGCCCTCCGTCCTGGGAAGGAGATGGCGCTGCTGGCATCGATAGTCCAACTGTCTGTAGTGCCGCGCTAACATGTTGAAGATGAATACGCTCCCATAGATGTGTTCGTGTCTCCGCCTGTACCGCCAGGGCCTGAGTTGCCGCGATGCTCGGAGGTGGACGCTTCAGAGATTGATG